TGATACCTTCAAAAAATGGAAAGCCATGGTGGAAAATAAGACTGGTTTGAAAGTCAAGCAGTTGAGGTCTGATAATGGAGGAGATTACAAAAATAGAAGATTCAGAGATTTATGCGCAAATAATGGGATCAAAATGGAGACAACAGTTCCCATGACTCCGCATCAGAATGGCATAGCAGAGCGCATGAACAGAACTCTGAATGAACGTGCCAGAAGCATGATGATACATGCCGGATTGCCCAAATTTCTATGGGCTGAAGCTATCAACACCGCAGTTTACCTGATCAACCGTTGACCCTAAGTTCCTTTGGATGTCAGAATACCAGAGGAAGTTTAGAGCAAGAAAGAAATAAACCTTTCACACTTAAGAGTGTTTGGTTGTATTTCTTATGTACACATAGACTCTGCTGAAAGAAGTAAACTTGATGCTAAGTTCAAAAAATGTGCCTTTATTGGTTATGGTGGCGATGAGTTCGGTTACCGGTTTTGGGACTATGAAAATCGAAAGATCATCAGAAGCAGAGACGTCATTTTCAATGGGAATGTGATATACAAAGACATGTCAACCGTAGAATCAAGTAGCTCCAATGTCGAAGCTGAAACAAAGGAATTTTCCGAGTTCGAGGAGATTTCTGGAAATGATGTTCAGATCAGTCCTAAAGCAGTTCAAGAAGAACCAGGCACACCAGAACTAAGACGCTCCTCCAAAATTCCTAAACCAACCCAGCGTTATTCACATTCTTTGCACTACTTGTTGCTGACTGACAATGGTGAACCAGAGTGCTATGATGAATCAATACAGGTGGAGGATTCAGTCAAGTGGGAGTCTTCCATGAAAAATGAGATGGACTCGCTTATGTCAAATCAGATGTGGGAATTAGCTGAATTACCACTAGAAAAGAAAGCGCTCCATAACAAGTGGATTTACAGGATCAAAGAAGAGCACGATGGGAGCAAACGCTACAAAGCAAGATTGGTCGTCAAAGGCTTTCAGCAAAAAGAAGGTATTGACTACAATGAAATTTTCTCTACAGTCGTAAAATTGTCTACAATCAGACTGGTGTTGAAAATTGTAGCTGCAGAGAATTTACATCTTGAGCAGTTAGATGTAAAGACAACTTTCCTTCATGGTGATTTGGAGGAAGAAATCTATATGAGGCAGCCAGAAGGCTTCATAGAGGTAGGCAAGAAAAACCTGGTATGCAAGTTGAAGAAGAGCTTGTATGGTTTAAAACAAGCTTCTAGACAGTGGTACAAGAAGTTCGATAGCTTCATGAGTAGCAGTGCTTTTACCAGATGACAAGCAAATTATTGTTGCTACATCAAGAGGTTCGACAATAACTTCATTATTTTATTGTTGTACGTTGATGACATGCTCGTTGCAGGCTCAAACATGCAAGAGATTATAAACTTGAACCAAAAATTGTCGAAGCAGTTTGCTATGAAGGATCTGGGCGCTGCAAAGCAGATTCTTGGGATGAGGATTAAGAGAGACACAAAGTCGGGGACTTTGATGTTATCACAGGCTGAGTACATCAACAAAGTACTCTCCAGGTTCAACATGCAAGATGCTAAACCAGTAAGTACACCTTTAGGTGTTCATTTTAGACTCTCCAAAGAACAGTCACCAAAGACGGAGGAAGAACGTGCACACATGGTGAAGGTGTCGTACGCCTCAACAATTGGAAGTCTGATGTATGCCATGGTTTGTACCAGACCAGATATTGCTCATGCAGTAGGAGTTGTAAGCAGGTACATGAATAATCCGGGCAAAGTACACTGGGAAGCAGTCAAATGGATCCTCAGATATCTGCGGGGTACCACAAACAAAGCACTTTGTTTCAAAGGTGGAGATACTATACTGACAGGCTATGTAGATGCTGACTTAGCCGGAAATGTTGACATCAAAAGGAGCACTACAGGGTATGTCTATACTCTAGGAGGAACTGCAGTGAGTTGGGTTTCTCAACTACAGAAGATAGTTGCTCTCTCCACAACTGAAGCAAAATATGTCGCTGTTACGGAAGCTAGCAAGGAGATGGTTTGGCTCCAAAGTTTCTTGGAAGAGTTAGGCAAGAAACAAGAAAAAATGTCTTGTATTGTGACACTCAAAGTGCTATCCATCTAGCGAAGAATCCGTTTTTTCATTCCAGGACGAAGCACATCCTGTCTCTTCTGGAAGATGGGATTTTGAAACTTGAAAAGATTAGTGGAGCTCAAAATCCAGCAGACATGTTGACAAAGACAGTGACCATGGACAAACTGAAGTTGTGTTCAGCTTCAGTTGGCATGCTAGAATAACAAGACTTGAAATGATGCTTCATTGATCGAGGTGTGAAGAAAGATTAAAATCAGTCTTCAAGTGGGAGATTGTTAGAAAAGTCAGCAAAGGAGGCTTGTTTTTTCAAAAATAGGGGGCTGAAGATTCAAGGGGCTGAAGATTTTCAACAAAGGGGGCATCGATTTTTTAATTAAAATGAAAATAGGGTTAATTACAAGATTAGTCCATAAGGCTCAACTATAAATACCCTAGCCCATTTAGCTTCAAAATCATCCCTCAAATCATTTCTTTCTCCCAATACTAGAGAGTTTTCTTGTGAGTAGTGAGTGTTTTGTAAACACCTGTAAATTTTCTCTCTTAATAAAAGATCTGCAACAGTCCGGAGACGTAAGCAAAATTGGCTGAACTCCGTTATCAATTTCGGGTATTATTTTTCCACTTTTATTTCGCATTCTCACTAATCTGGTTATAGGGAAATTACTTGTTACTCGGTTTATTTCCCAACAAAATGTACTTTCTTGTCTTTTGACATTGCTGAAAAGAAACTTGGAGAGCTTAAACGTGTAACTCTCAAAGCTCCGTTGGTCTCCGCTGAAGACAAGGATGAAGAACTTAATAGGGTCAAATGTTTTGTGTGTCGGGAACCATTGTTAGGATCTATGCACTTTTCTCCTTATTGTGGGTTTAACCTACATAAAAAATGTGTTGAGTTACCTACTAAAATCAATCACCCCCTTCATAAGGACCATCCTCTGTTTTTACAGTTGCGCATTCAAGGTTTGTCTTGCAATTTGTGTCATCGAAGGCTACCTGTATTTGGATTTAACTATTCTTGTTCACCTTGTAAATTTGCACTTCATATAACATGTGCAGAGTTACCTCCTACACTCGATCTCCCCTGCCACCGTAAACATCCTCTCATTCTAGAATTCAGAAAGAATCCATCTTGTGATGCATGCAAAGAAACCCAACGCAGTAATCTTGTTTATCGTTGTTCATCTTGCAACTTTAAACTTCATTCCGAGTGGGCATCACCACCGCTTACCATTAAAGGAAAAACACATGAACACCCTTTCACTTTGTTTTGGAGACAAGCTTCATTCATTTGTGATGCATGTGGTCTTGAGGAAAATTCTATTTCCTATACATGTTCTACATGCAGCCTTGTAGTCCGTAAACAATGTATTTCCGTGCCACCCATAATCTCAATCCCTCGACATGAACACCCGATTTTCCACAAATATTTCCTTCAACCTCATGAGTTTAGAGATTGGGAGTGGAAATTTTGTTATGAAGAAGTGAAAGTTCTCCAATTGCAAGTTCATTGTCCATGTGAACTGTGCTTTGGAGAAAAGGTGGTACAAGGTGATTGAGGCAAAGCTTCTTGATGATTTGGCAATGGTTCCCAGAAGGTCTACCAATCCCATAATCTGCATTGAGAAAAACAAAGATGGAGAAATGACAAAAATAAAACATTTCAGCCATGTACATAATCTCATGTTGGAACATTGTGATGGGGTCAATCTCATGTAGAAATACTGTAATGGGTGTGTCCACCCGTCTCGGGTCCACTCTATCGTTGCTCGCAATGTGATTTCTCGTTTCTCATCCTTGTTGCAGATCATATTTTTAGAGGTGGTCTTTGTCGAAGCGAGTGCAACGGCTTCTCCTACAGATGCGAGGAGTGCGATGTTCAGTACTGCCTATATTGTGCAACGAGGAGCAACTCGGTCAAACATCCTGCACATGAACACCCTCTTTACTATGATCGTAATTATGAAGGAATATGTGATGCTTGCGTTGTTGAAAGGCGTGGTCTCTTCAGGTGTAAGAGTTGCTCTTTCAGTTTACGCATCCAATGTCTCAGATGTTGAAAGGCGTTGTCCTTATTAATAATATTTATAGTGATTGAGGGTCAATTCAAGTGATAAACAGTTTGATATTGTTTAAGTATGTTTTGAGTTTGAGACCTTATATATACAAAAAGTCTCCGTTGAGAAACTCATCCACCGACGCCAGACATACAACACGAGTCGATCTAGATTAATCATAGTGAAATCTTAAAACCAGGAGAACAATAAAAAAAATATTTATAATCGATGCTTTGAGCCAATAAAGCATATTCTAAATGTAAAATAAAATTTAAACGTCTAAGTTGCATTTAACAGCAGTTGTATTTCTTTATCGAGTATTTTAACTATTAAAAATTATAAAATATTCTTCAATTTTAGTTGTTGTTTTGTCCATACTATTAAAAATTAGAAAATGATCATCTAACTATTTATATATTCTTTTTCTATTAAAAAATTGACGGTTGTTTGAAATGAACCTTAATTTACTGACTGAGATATGAGATATGAAGAGGGAAAAAGAGGGATTCAAACTAGGGATAGCAACTCAACCCGAACCCGACCCGATCGGGTAAGATTTTTTTAAAAATATTCGGGTTCGGGTCGGGTCGGTTTTTTATGTACTGTTCGGGTCGGGGTCGGGTTTAGGGTGGAAAAAATCCGGCCCGACCCGACCCGAAAATATATATAATTTTACCCTATATATTTAGGGATAATTACAATAATACCCCTCTATATATAATTTTTTTCAATTAAGTCACTGTTTTTATTGAATAAAAATATTTTTTTTATTATTTCTGGTTGGGTTTCTAAGTCATATATTCGGGTCGGGTGAAATCTTAATTTCGTCGGGTCGGGTCGGTCACGGGTGGAGGACCCTTTCTTCTCGGGTCAGGTCGGGTGGCCCAAAAACCCGACCCGACCCATTGCCATCTCTAATTCAAACCCTTCGACATATATGGACTCAATCCCACAGACCACAAAACACCAAAATAGGGGGGGAAAGACAACAAGAAGAATCCAAATCAATAGAGACCAGAACTATGGACCAAAGATGGATGCAAAAGATACCATAAATATGAAAACATGCATGCATACATGCATACATACATTCATAGAATCTATTCTTTTTCTCTGACTCTAGCTAAACATGCAAAGACTAAATGCTTCATTTTTATTTAGAGGGAGCTAGTTCATATCCTGAAATGCAGCAGTGCAGAGTTTCCATCAAGGCCCTTGTTTTGGAAGTGAGCCACATATTCCATCACAGTAGTTTCCCTGTATTTGGGAGGATTATCTTCTGACAACAACTCCTTAATTGGTCCATACAATCTCGGGTTCAGATGAGAACCTGTGACGAAAAAGCTCGCCACCGACACTCTAGGTCCGACAGAGTTCGCCAGCACCCGATGCTCCACGCTCACAAGACTGTCGTTCGATATAAGCTGCAACAAAAAAATCAATCGGTCACATAGTTATGAATCTAATTGATTAATGTAATTCTCATAGGACTTGCCTGTAAAAGGTCTCCAATGTTAACTACCAAAGCTCCAGGGACTGGAGGCACATCGATCCATTGATTTTCATGAAGAACTTGGAGACCACCTATATGGTCTTGCAGAAGCACCGTGATGAAGGTACTATCAGCATGCTTGCTTGCCCCGATTGTCGATTCCGGCTGCGGACATGCCGGATAGTAGTTGCACAGATGACCTAGACCCTTTGCGCAGTCTATCTTCAACAGATGATCAGGATTCAATCCCAGAGCTTCTGATATCAACTCGAAGAGCAAATGACCCAAACTCATCACTCCGTCTGTGTACTCGAACATAATATCCCTATGCCAAAATTCATACATTTTACACTTTATATGTATATGTATATGTATATGTATATGTATATGTATATGTATATGTATATGTATATGTATATGTATATGTATATGTATATGTATATGTATATGTATATGTATATGTATATGTATATGTATATGTATATGTATATGTATATGTATATGTATATGTATATGTATATGTATATGTATATGTATATGTATATGTATATGTATATGTATATGTATATGTATATGTATATGTATATGTATATGTATATGTATATGTATATGTATATGTATATGTATATGTATATGTATATGTATATGTATATGTATATGTATATGTATGTATATGTATATGTATGTATATGTATATGTATATGGGTATACCTGAATGGTTCGGGCAACTCTTCCGGCCTAGGAGGATCAGGAGTCATTTTGCAGTAAACAGAGTCCCTCCAATTAGCTGCAGGAGCAGTAAGGAGATCGAAATTGGAATTATGGACAACTTTCTTCATATTATCACGAGTGTAGTACTGTTTTTTGAGCTCAACGTCTTGCTCGAAAAACCGACGTACACGAACCTTCATCTCCTCGAGAAAACTCACAGGAATTCCATGGTTAATGATCTGAAAGAAACCCCATTCCTTGGAAGCATTACGGACTTGTTCAACGATCGATTTCCGAGCACCACGATCCCCCTGCACTCCTTGAAGATCTATAACAGGGATACTGAACTGGGAGGCGCCTGGAACATAGGCTTCCCCGAAGGCATCAGGTGGCCGATGAAACATTCGAGGAACCTCCGAAACTCCGGCATCTACGAGGCCTTTGACACCGGCTTTTGTCTCGTCGAAAGCTTTGATTTCACTCGCTCGATCGTATTTCTGTTCGAACTGGGCTTCACCTGCAACCATTTTTTGTTCTCTCTTGTATTTGAATGTAAACAACCATGGAGGATGACAAACAAGGGAATTAAAATAAAAATGGTGGGGAAGAGAGCAACGATAGCAACAAAATGAGTGATGGCGACGAGAGTTATCCTAAACAGAGAAAATCCCATTATTTTGTTTTTAAAATATCAAAACATGACATAATTGGACCACAATTTCCACTACTGATAGTGATAGAGCAAGAGAAACCAAATCGAAATTCTATACAGATATATTTAATATATTAAATTAATATAATAAACGGAATAAAAGAATGTAATTAAGATATAAATATTTAACATATAAATAAACAAGAATAAAAAAACTATTTTTATAATTATTTAACAGTTCTTTTTATAAATATGATGAATTTATGAAAATAGAATATTATATAATTATAATATTAAAAAGGGTAAAGTGCGCAAATGGTCCACGATTATAGGATATTGCTTTATTAAGCCCCTCCACTATTATAAGTTACAAAATAGTCACCCGACTATTCGTTATGTTCCAAACCCACCCTTTTCCTTTAAAAATTGACTGTTGTTTAAGCTGGACGTTAACATGATGACTACGATATGATACTCGTTTGAGATTTTAGGATCGAGTTTTATCATAACACTGTCAATAAATTAACATTCAACTCATAATATCGTCCATTTTTAATGGAAAAGTACGAGTTTGGAACATAATGAATAGTTGAAGTTGAGTGACCTTTTTGTAACTTTTGATAGTTAAGGGACTTAACAAAGCAACATTATATAGTCGAATGACAATTTTGTAGCTTTTAATAGTCGATAGACTTACTAAAACAATATCCTATACTCAGCGGACCATTTGTGTACTTTATCCTATTAAAAGTTATTTACGCAATGATATTTTTATATAATTTTTATTAATATACTAATATTTTTATATCAACTTTAATAACAAATCATTAAAATTCATTATTCATAATAAAAATTTTGGTACGAGATATTAACTAAATCAAAATTATATAATTTTTTAAATAAAATAATAAGAGGTTCCAATATTTTACTTTAAAATTAATTATTATATTTACATATTATAAAATTAAGTAATTATAAGTAGCATATGATAATTGTTTAATGTACATTTCTACCTGACTTGCCTGCAAAAGATCTCCAATGTTAACAACCAAAGTCCCAGGTACTGGAGGCACATCAATCCATTGATTTTCATGAACAACTTGGAGGCCACCAATATGGTCTTGTAGAAGCACCGTGAGGAAGCTACTGTCGGCATGTTTGCTCGCCCCCATAGTCAAATCCGGCTGCGGACATGCCGGACAGTAATGGCACAGCTGACCGAGACCCTTTGCACAGTCTAACTTCAGCAGATGATCAGGGCTCAATCAAAGTCCTTGTATGTATATATGTCCCTATACCAAAGTTATACATACAAGTTACAGTTCATCATATCTATGCATATATGTATGTATGTATGTATGTATGCATTACCTGAACGGTGCAGGCAACTCTTCTGGCTTAGGAGGATCAGGAGCCATGTCGCAATAAACAGAGTCTCTCCAGTTAGCTGCAGGGGCAGTAGGGAGATCGAAATTGCTCTTATAGACCACCTTTTCCGTATTATCACGAGTGTAGTACTGTTTTTTGAGCTCGTCATCTTGCTCGAAAAACGTACGTACACGAACCTTCATCTCCTCTAGAGTACTCACAGGAATTCCATGGTTAATGATTTGGAAAAAACCCCATTCCTATGATGCATTAAGGACTTTTTTAGCGATCTCGTTGCGAGTACCAGGATCGTCCCTCGCTCCTTGAAGATCTATAACAAGGATACGAAACAGGGTGGCACTTGGAACATCTGTTTCCCCAAAGGTATCCGGTGGCACATGCAATATTCGGGGAACCTCCGAAATTCCGGCATCTACGAGTCCTTTGACACCAGCTTTCGTCCCATCGAAAGCTTTGACTTCACTCACTCGATCATATTTCAGTTCGAATTGGACTTCACCTGCGTTCCTTTCTTGTTTCTCAAGGTATCTTCTTTGTAGAAACAATCTTTGGCGAATGGTAAGCAAGGGAATGTGAATAAATAGATGGGAAAGAAAAGAAAAGATTTAAATAAGAGTTAATTACATTATATATCCTAAAGCTATGATTATTATTTTATATTGGTCCTTAAACTTTTGAATATTCTAATTTCATGTCCAAACCATGGCTCTCATTTTAAATTGGTCCCCCAAACTTTTGAATCTTACAATTTCATCCGCCAAGTCATCCAAATATGCAATTAGTTTCAGGCATAGTTTAACCTAAATTTTATTTTCTTCAAACATATAATAATATAACTTGGCCTAACGGTTTTATTAACAAAGCATGTGACTAATATATATGTATAGTTTGGGACGAAATTGAAATGTTCAAAAAGTTTAGGGACCGATTTGGATGAAGGTCATAATTTGAAGATAAAATGAAATGTTCAAAAGTTTAAGGACAAATTTAGAATGATAGTCATGTTTAGGGATGAAATGAGAACCTTTAAAAGTTTAGGGACTAATTTAAAACGATAGTCATAATTTTAAGAGGTGATGCAATTAACCCTTTAAATAATAATAAACTTTAGTAAGTTTAACTATTACGTTGTAATAATTCACTAAGTTTAATAATTATTTTGTAATAATTCGACCATTGAACAAGTCTAAATGGTCCAACCAATTTGGGATATTTGGAAAAACCAAAGAAATTTCAAAGCAAGTTCATCGAGTCGATCATTTTCAGTAACTAATCCGTGATGCACTAATTACAAGCAATGCTCACCTCAAAATGCTTATCAATGAAGAACAAACAATCCAGGAGCATCCACCAAGGGTTCATTTTCGAAGGACGGAGATTGCTTCGGAACGCACCTAAATCGACTGAAACTTCTCTCACGTCTTACCCCGAAGATCAGATGCGATAAAAGTCCTCGACATTAAACCATTATAGAGAACAGTTTTCGTGTTCTCGATCGTAAGCTGACTCACAGAAAGTGATTCAGGGCATCGAAATGACCCCAAAGTTAACTTGGTTTGGTATCTTTCTCATACATTGACATAAACAGGCACTACAAATCCAGGATTGAAGCGAAACCGAAAGATGCTGCAGATTTATAAGCAAAATTGTCAAACCCTTTCTGAAAACTAAATAGCAATGAACTTAACTTCGTAGTTAACGGTATCGAACAGTCCAAGTAATATGCTCTTTTTACCCTAATCTTGACAAATCAGAGCCATGATACAAGCACATTTATATAAATAGATATGTGGGTTCACCCAGGAAGACAGAGATCGAATGAAAAAACTAGATGTTCCTTTTCAAAATGTCTTTGTTTTTGGAGCCTTTTTCTTGTGTTGTATCCTAGGGATCGAGTTCTTCATGCCGATGAAGAAGAATAACGCCCCTAACAGCGCCAAGTTCTGGGAGCGGAAGTTTATCAGAAAAATATAATTTGAAATGAATCGCCGACAAAAATGCTATGAACTACTAACCTGTGTGAATTTGGTGAAAAGTATGCCAAATTCTTTCTTTTCAGTGTCGTAGTTGTAGAAGTCATACAAAATAGGAGTAACAATAAGCTGTTGCAGAACCTACACGAGTAGAATAGTGTAATACATCAGTTAATTTCGTTGATAATTGAATTACTAACTCAAAAGAATACATAAATCCATAAACGAACCAGGAGATAAGCTCCAATACTGCTGCCAAACGTGAAAAGGATGCCCCCGACACCTTTAAAGGCTACAGAAGCAGCAACTAGGTACTTAATCTGTAAATAACAGCTCCAAGTGATACGACTTTAGAAAAACATGATATATAAATATGTTTATCAGTGGTGAAATAAAGGAATTCTTACATCGAATTCTGGCACTTGCACCCCTGTATGAACTGACACAGTCTTTGCGAAGACGTTAAATTTTGGTTTCAATACCTTTGCTGCTGGCCCTCCATCAACTCCAAATTCATTGAACCTATACACATGAACACTTAATGTAAGAGTAGAAACAAGCAGGACACAACTTAGACCAAGTTCAAAATTACTGACTCCATATTTTAAGCTCAAACTTAGAAAACAGTATGATTGTGATCGAAAAAGAAGGCCCAAAGCCCAAACCTCTATCCTCTGCAGCTCTTATATCTCTAGCATATGTCTGACAAAAATTTTCTTCAAAAACTGCTAATGTATCGTAATGTATCGCATCATATCCAATATAGGCCAGTACTTAGGTCAACAGAACTAAGGGTTATCATCATACAGACTGAAGGTTCATACTCAAAAACGTCACAACTCGCATGCAACTTAGCTTGATTTCCATGTGTCCATTTAGTTAAACATATTGGTTTCATTATCTCAAATAACACTCCATGTATTAATTCCTGCTTTTTACAATTAAACGGACACATGTCAATTATTCGAAAGGCTTTTGGAATTTTAAACTCCACCATCATTGGATAGGATAATAATCTCGAAACTATACTAGGCAAAAAATATAAACTAGAAACTTATTACTATAGAGAGAACGAAGAATGTGTCAAACAATAAAACTCGATACCCCTAAAAGTCCTTTGATTTGGGAAAGGGATGGAAACCCTGCTTTGAGCAAGCGTTGTCAAGGGCAGAAAGTATAAAAACAACGTCTAATCTGAGTACAGTTAAGCTTCTAAAGAACAGTCCAGTTTATCTTAAAAACATGAATTTTGCCGGCCGATATGCATAATTTCCTTATGGCCTCGTATTAGTTGTTGAATGATAAATTGCTTGAGGCACTTATGTTGTCTAGAACAACGCCTAGGCATGCCTTACAACACGAAGTTAAGCAAGGTGTCATGATCCATCGCCATTCGATGGGTACCATGCCTCGTCGCGCAGGCATCACGATACCACAATCCGACTTACCTGTCAACGTGGCTCATTTCCGGCGTAATCCAGTATCGTCTTCTTTGGGCCCCACGAGTCCCTCAAGGTTTTGTCACCCTAATTCCCGTATACTCCTAACTCTTTGATTTGGGTAAAAGGAGATTCGAGCTTTGCTCTTTGAGCAAGTGATCATGGCCCACTAGAGCCGAATGCTTCGGCTCATATACTCCTACTCTTTAAAATCATGCACCAACCACATGAGCTAAGCTCGTGGTATTTATGAGACCTATAACTTATAATTTAAAAATCTTATAAGACATCATTAAGCACTTAATCAATGATATTTCTGCGTTACAAAGGGGAATTCAGCAAGCATATATATGACGGTAGCAATGCCATCCGAAACTATCGCACGACCGCAGTACACACAATGACCGCAATTGCTTCCACTAGGTCTACGACCACGATAAGAACAGCGCAACCAAAAACTAGAAACCGCAATTTAAATCCCTGATATATAAATATAAGTATATTTGTATATGTACAACTGCCACAAGGCTTAAACATCTAAGCAATTCAACAGGAACATCATCATATAATTTCACACTTTATATAAAGAAATTACCCTAAAAGACACCCTAAAACCCTAACAATTATCAATCCTTCTAAAGGAAAATCATTAAATCGACATAAATTAAACTCTAATTCCAGTTTTAACAGGTTGGAACAGCTCTGAGTTCCAAATCAGAATCAAGATCCAAACTCAAACTACCCCTCTTCTTTTATTTTCTCGAGAACCGAACAGTCACCATCAGCAAAACACAAAAAAGGAAAAAAAAGGAAAAGGAAAAGAAGTTTAGATCTGAAGTGAAACTTACTCTTGCCAAGCGGAGAGGATAAATATCGAAGCGAAAAGCACTCTTCCGACGAAAGAAACAAACCCCATTCTTTTTCGATTAAAAAACCTCAAAATTCGACGAAAAACAATCGGGAAAAACAAAAAGGTTGGTTTTTGAGAAACAAAATAAACCACCGTCTGAAAGGGAGACGAGATCAGTAAATGACTAAATTGGATTGTCGGTTCGGATCCGATGTACTCAAATCGGGTCATCAAAGATCCGGATCAGTTTGATTCTGATTTCAGTGCATTTCCACGTGCCCTAATCTATTTTAAAATAGGATTAAGTACATAAATAGTCCTACAACTATAAGGTGCTTCTTTATTAAGTCCCTCGACTATTAAAAGTTACAAAATGATCCTCTAACTATAGAGTATTGCTTTTGGAGTCCCTTGACTATCAAAAGTTACAAAATGATCATCCAACTATTCATTATGTTCTAAATTAATCATTTTTCCGTTAAGAAATTGACACTATTCTGAGCTGAACATTAACTTGCTGACTGATATGATAAAATTTGATTTAGAATCTCAAATAACTATCACATCATAGTCATCATGTTAACAACTAGGTTAGAAAACCTCTAATTTTTAATGAAAAATGACGAGTTTGGAACATAATAAATAGTCGGGTGACCATTGTGTGACTTTTACTAGTCGAATGACTAAAAAAGCAAAAATCTATAGTCATAAGACTATTTTATAATTTTTGATAATCAAATGACTTAATAAAATATTACCATATAGTCGGGAGACCATTTGTGTACTCAATCATTTAAAGTACATAAATATTATAATTTGTAGGACAAACTAGACATTAAGTCATTATTATTTTCATTCTGACATCAATCAAATCACGAAATTAACATGACAGTTTTAAAATATGTACAAGAACACAATTAGTCTATTAAATTTACAATTTCAATAAATTTGACCTCTAAATTTACAAACTTTGTTAATTTGGTCTAAAAGTTCGTACAATATAAACCAAATCTTTCCTTTTCACTTAAATACTTAAAATTTTCCTATTTTTCTTCTTTACTTTCCAAATTTTCAAGTCACCCCATCATTTCAACATATTAATTTTTAAATTAATATTAATTTTTTATTAATTTCTAAAACAACACCTTCTCTAGCACCTAGAATAAAGGAAATAAAAATCAAATTTTTTTTATAAAAAAAAAATCAAGTTTAGAAATAAACATAAACATATTTAAGAATCATTACCTTTGTAATGATAACTAATGCTTTATTAATAGCTAAGTTGAATAATTGTTATATTATTAGTAAATAGAATGGATCTAGAAATAAGTACACTACTAATGCATGACGATCTTGATCTTCTTCTTCTGCTGCTGCTCTGCATTTCACTGCCCAATATTACAAGAAATCATATGATATATTAAAAGGGTCAATGTTCTTCTTCTGCTGCTGCTCCTCCTCCTCTTCATTTCACTGCCCAAAATTACAAGAAATCGTATGATAATCAGGCTTTGCACAATCCCAATGGACAATATAATCACAGGCAGAATCTGCACATTCAAGAGACAAATCTCGACAAGACTTACCACAATTGTGATTTGTGGCAAATAGGACAAGAAAATGTCTTCTTTACAAAAGTTAGAGGATGCGGGTGATCCTCTGATCCCGTGTAAATGCTTCCTGATTTGATAAACGGATACCTTCCGAGAGCACAACCGGTATGAGCAGAAACATCACAGGTCGAACAACGATAGAACCAACTACTCCGGTCCCTCTTTTTTCTCACAGATGTCGCAATACAGATATTTTGAATATGTATTGACCTCTTTATAAGTAAGTGCAAATGTGTTCCTCACATCTGTGCCAAGCCGTGAGCGGTTGCCTTAAATATTGGATATGCAGACTGATGGTGCAACTCTTACATTGGAAGAGACTGCGCCTTTCGACATTGCATGCGTCGCACCGTCCTTCACACTTACAATCATAGTGCATAGGGTGTTTATGTGCAGGATGTTTGATCCTGTAGCTCCTCGTTGCACAATGGAGGCAATAATGAATATCACACTCCTCGCACCTATAGGAGAATCCGTTACACTCGCTTTGACAGAGACCACATCTAAAAATATGATCTAAAACAAGGATAAGAAACTGTTGACATCTGTGAAACCACAGCCATTTCTCCATAGGCGATTCGGCACATGTTTTGTGGAGAAAGAAATCGCATTGCAAACAACGATAAAATGGACCCGAGACGGTAGGACACACCCATCACAGTATTTCTCCATGAGATTGGACCCTTCACGATGTTCCTTCATGAGATTGACCTGTAATATCAGATCATGTAAATGGCTGAAATGTTTTATTTCTGTCATTTCTCCATCTTTGTTTTTCTCAATGCAAATGATGGGATCAACAGACCTTCTGGGAACCATTGCCAAATCATCAAGACTCTTTGCCTCAATCACCTTGTACCACCCTTTCTTCTCTAAAGCACAGTTCACATGGACAATAAACTTACAATTGGAGCAAGAGTAACTCCCATACTCCACTTTCACTTCTTTATAACAAATTCTGCAATCACAATCCCTAAACTCACAAGGCTGCATGTAGAACATGTATAGGAAACAGAATTTCCCTCAAGACCACATGCATCACAAATGAATGAGACTTGTCTCCACAACAATGTGAAAGGGTGTTCATGGGTGTTTTCTTTAATGGTTAGAGATGGTGATGCACACTCGGAATGAAGGTTAAACTAATTGCAAGATGAACAACGATAAATAAATTTATCGCGTTGGGTTTCTTTACATGCATTGCAAGATGGATTGTTTTGGAATGCTAGAACGAGAGGATGTTTACGGTGGCAGGGGAGATCGAGTGTAGGAGTTAACCCTATACATATTATATGAAGAGGAAGTTTACAAGGTGAACAAGAATAGCTTAATCCATATGGAGGTAGCTTTTGACGACATAGATTGCAAGAGAAACTCAAACCTTGAAAACGAAACTGTAAACAATAGGATGGTTCTTATGAATGGGGTAATTGATTTTAGGAGGTAGTTCAACACATTTTTTATGTAGGTTAAACACACAATCAGGAGAAAAATGCATAGATCCTAACAATGGTTCCCAACACACACAACATTTGACCCTCTTAAGTTTTTTATCAATGTCTTCAGCGGAGACCTAAGGAACTTTGAGAGCTACACGTTTAAGCTCTCTAAGTCTCTTTTTACCAATGTTGAAGGACAATAAAGCACATTTGACATGAAGGTCCAAATTACAAGAGCAATGATAGAGAAATTTCTCACAGGTCTTGCCGCAGAAATTGCAGATGGCTCTTCCTTTCTCGTATGGTGACTTTGGTAAGAGAACAAGAGGGTGATCGCGATGGTAAGGGTGGCGAATCTCCGGAGGTGCCTCGGCACATTTCTTGTGGAGGTAAAACTCGCATTCCGCGCAGCTAAAGCTCGAACCAGACACCATCTCCCCACACCTTGAGCAAGTAACTTTTTTGGTTTGATTGCTCGGCACATCGTTGAACACCATCGGGTGGTCGTGCCCGAAGCGTTGTGATCCCATCTCCATCTCCATGTCTCGAACTTTTGAAGTATGTTGCAAGGCAAGAGGAAAATGCATTTGAGAAGAGGCATAAAGAGACTAAGAACAGAATGGACAACAACAACTGAATGTAAGCGAACACAGCGGCAATAGAGAGTGACCGAACAGCAGCAAGAACCAGGTTCACCAAACCTGCTAAACACTACAGACCGCCATGACTCCATCGGTCTTCAACCCAGCACACAAATAGATTGTTATTATGTATATGCATGCATGCATCCATGCATGTAGCTTTTTATATACATCCATGCATGCAGTGTTGATTGTTGAATTTAGTGTTTTGTTGCTACGGTCCTTGAAACTATTGTTCCATGTTTGAATATTTACATAAAATAATAGGATTTTCTTTGTTTAGATTATCTCTAGTCCCCATCACTTTTTTTGTTGCTATCCTTTCACTTCCCCACCATATTTATTTTAGTTCCCTTGTTTGTCATTCACCAGGAATTGGGGACATGAATTGTTATATCAGAGCCATAACCAAGGTTTCAAATCGCGGTCGTGGTCTCGTTTTTGGTCATTTCGGGTTTACCGTGATTGTGGCCGTCGCGAGCGCTATTGGGTGCTATTGCGGGTGTAGCGGGTAACTCGGACGGCGACAAAACCGTTATATCGCGGACGAAATTGCGGTCGCGGAACGTGTTTTGGAACTCGTTATTAAATTGCATGAATCTAGAAACGAACACACTATTAATGTATCACAATCAATCTAGAAATGAGCATTACACAGTACTAATGCATGGCACGTCTTCTCTTCTTTCTTTTCTACTTCTTCAGATGATTTCACTGCCCAATATTACGAGAAATCATACGACATATTAAAGTGTCAGTGATGTTGATAAAGGGTTCATATTAACAAGAAAAGGGAAGAGTTCTATATTTAGAAATTAGCAAAAGAACGTACCAGAACTACGCAAGACGAATTCGGGACACTTCCCTTCGGAATACTTTCATCTGTTTCGGTTGTATCAAGTACAATCTTTTGGTTCTTCAGATGAGAAGGTTTTGCACAATCCCAATGGACAACATAACCACAGGTAGAATCTTCACATTCAAGACACAAATCTCGACAAGGTATACCACATTTGTGACATCCGGGACAAGAAAATGTCTTCTTCACAAAAGTTAGAGGATGCGGGTGATCCTCTAATCCCCTGTAAATGCTTCCTGGTTTGATAAACGGATACCTTCCGAGGGCACAATCAAGATGAACAGAAACATCACAGCTCGCACAACAATAGAACCAACGGTTCGAGTCTCTCTTTCTTTCACATATATCACAATACAGATACTGTGAATATGTACTGACCTCTTTGTAAGTAAGTGCAAGCAGGTGTTCATCGCATCCGTGCCAAGCCGTGAGCGGTTGTCTCAAACATTGGATATGCAAACTGATTTTGCAATGCTTACATCTGAAGAGACCACGCCTTGTAACATCGCAAGCACTGCACCGTCCTTTGTGATTACGATCATAATAAAGAGGATGTTCATGTGAAGGATGTTCAATCGTGTAGCTCCTCGTTGCACAATGGAGGCAATAATAAATATCACACTCCTTGCATCGATAGGAGAAGCCGTTGCACTCACTTCGACAAAGACCACATCTGAAAATATGATCTGCAACAAGGATGAGAAACCGTTGACAGATGTGAAACCACAACTGTTTCTCCATAGGCAATTCAGCGCATTCCTTGTGCAGAAAGAAATCACATTGCGAGCAATGATAAAATGGATTCGAGACGGGTAGGACACACCCATCACAGTATTTCTCCATGAGATTGGACCCTTCACGATGTTCCTTCATGAGATTGACCTGTAATATCAGATTATGTGCATGGCTGAAATGTTTTATTTCTGTCATTTCTCCATCTTTGTTTTTCTCAATGCAAATGATGGGATCAACAGACCTTCTGGGAACCATTGCCAAATCATCAAGACTCCTTGCCTCAATCACCTTGTACCACCCTTTCTCCAAAGCACAGTTCACATGGACAATAAACTTGCAATTGGAGCAAGAGTAACTCCCATACTCTACTTTCACTTCTTCATAACAAATTTTGCACTCACTGTCCCTAAACACACGAGGTTGAAGGAATATTTGTGGAAAATCGGGTGTTCATGTCGTGGGATTGAGATTATGGGTGGCAGAGAAATGCATTGTTTATGGAGTACAAGGCTGTATGTAGAACATGTATAGGAAACAGAATTTCCCTCAAGACCACATGCATCACAAATGAATGAGGCTTGTCTCCAAAACAAAGTGAAAGGGTGTTCATGTGTTTTTTCTTTAATGGTAAGTGGTGGTGATGCACAGTCGGAATGAAGGTAAAAGTTGCAAGATGAACAACGATAAACAAATTTACCGCGTTGGGTTTCTTTGCATGCATCACAAGATGGATTGTTTTGGAATGCTAGAACGAGAGGATGTTTACGGTGGCAGGGGAGATCGAGTGTAGGAGGTAACTCTGCACATGTTATATGAAGTGCAAATTTACAAGGTGAACAAGAATAGTTAAATCCAAATACAGGTAGCCTTCGATGACACAAATTGCAAGACAATCCTTGAATACGCATCTGTAAAAACAGAGGATGGTCCTTATGAAGAGGGTAATTGATTTTAGGAGGTAGCTCAACGCATTTCTTATGTAGGTTAAACCCACAATCAGGAGAAAAGTGCATAGATCCTAATAATGGTTCCCGACACACAAAACATTTGGCCCTCTCAAGCTCTTCATCGTTGTCGTCTGCGGAGACCAACGGAACTTTGAGAGGTACACGTTTAAGCTCTCCAAGTACCTTTTCAGCAATATCAAAGGACAATAAAGCACATTTGACATGAAGGTCTAACTCACAAGAGCAATGATAAATAAATTTCTCACAGGTCTTGCCGCAGAAATTGCAGATGGCTCTTCCTTTCTCGTATGGTGACTTTGGTAAGAGAACAAGAGGGTGATCGCGATGGTAAGGGTGGCGAATCTCCGGAGGTGCCTCAGCACATTTCTTGTGGAGATAAAACTCACATTCCGAGCAGCTAAAGCTCGAACCAAACACCATCTCCCCACACCTTGAGCAAGTAACTTCTTTGGTTTGATTGCTCTGCACATCGTTGAACACCATCGGATGGTCGTGCCCGAAGCTTTGTGATCCCATCTCCATGTCCATCTCCGTGTCTCGAACTTTTGAAGTATGTAGCAAGGCAAGAGGAAAATGCATTTGAGAAGGCATAAGCTATGACTTTATACTTTCATAACCAATTATTCTTTCCCATCTTTGTATCTAACAACAATCAGTAATTAAATCAGTTGATTCTATTGCTTTCATTAAAGATAAAGAAACAAAAGCAATCCAAACTTAATTATTTTCCTTGTCGACAAAGTAAAGCTTATATAAAATTATCTCTTGAATCGTTCCAAGAAGTGCCATTCTCCCCCCCCCCCTTCTCAACCTTGCATTATTTTAAGTTTGCAAGTTTAGGATCAGGTTCCCATATTTATTTACGGCTAAAGTTATTACAAAGTATTATATGTTCTATTATTTGATAATGAACGCTCAATCACTCTATTGTTGATATTCGAACCTATAACTCAGGGACGGAGCCAAAATTAAATATTGACATGGGCCGAAATATTAGACTATTTAAGAAAAATATAAAGACTTATTAGGTATTTAAACTTGAAATTCAGCATGAACCAAACAACCCTAGTGATTAAGGAATTGTTGTTATCCTTAAGGTCTCGAGTTCAAGCACGTATATTGGGGTATGAGCATTTATTGATCACCGGACTTTTTGATATTACAAAATGGTTATTAAATGTTTCAAAAGTTATAAAATGGTCATCAAATTATTAAACTATTACAAAATGGTCAATTTTTTTTATCGAATTATGAATGCTTCATTTAAATTCTGATTAATTGTATTTACATGAAACATTTGGATTGAACTTGGATTTTGGATTTAAGTTTTATTAGTTTTTGGGGATTCAAGGAAAACCATCTTAGAAGAGAAAAGATCAAGAGAAAGATTGATGCTTTAATACCAATTACGCAACAAACAATGGTTAATGATAATCTAATAGTTATACAGAAGGATGTCGGTCATAAAAAAAATAAAAGGTGAAAAATTTATGTCAATTTCAGAAGAAGTCCTAAAACACAATGTATATGTGTTTGCGGTAAACCCTTAACGATAGAATGATGAAAAAAGAGCAAAATTAAAAGTTTTAGTGATAAAATTAAAAATTCTAAAAGTTAGAAGACACCAAGACAGAAACATGTTGAAAGTTTTTTTTCTTTTCTGAAAGGGGCATTTCATATGTTCCCATTAATCGAAAAACATACGAAAACAAGGCTTCATTAAAAAAACCTCCCTTAACCTAATTAGAGGAAATGGAGTGTTGTATACTCACGTTGATACAAGTAAAAAAGAACTACATTCCTTTACACATGGGTCTCTTCCAAATCGACAGACAGCACCAACGATATTCAAAGAAACCATTGACTACATAGCTATATGGGGTATTAACACAAGTAAAACCCTAGGGGCCTAACAGCACCATTCCTATAATGTAGATACAGACAAAGAGTATTTTGAGGCAATCCTTCGGCACCAATCATCCATCTCTAGTGACCAAGTCGACAGTCTGCTTAAACTTCATGGCAAAACTGACAGAATAACACCATCGATATCAAAATAATTAAGACACCAATCCACCATATAAGGGCTCATGCTACTTGAGCTTCCACCGAGAACTACAAAGACCCCATTTGTTTTGAACCAAAGCCTGGATTGCTTCTTGCTCGTAACAGATTCCTCCAGTAAAGCCCCCACCTGAGCCAATACAACTTGGTTGTGCACCTCCATAAAAACGCTCAGCGCAGTCCTTTAATCGCTCGGACAGATTGAACCGGTGTTATAGTCTTCCTATCACCTCGGTTTTATGTCACACTTAAGCCTTATCACCGCCACAACTCTTATGCAGAGAGGTAATGAGCAATCGACATCCAGCCAAGATAAGATAAGCAATGCACAACATAGTGACAAGCCACCAATGCATAGTGTCAAGCTCGAGTCCAAGTCAATTCTAATTACATCAACATTGAATGCTCCCATTTGAAACCCTGTGAATCCTTCCTTCACAGTGTCGACGAGTCCACCGGTCGAGGCAACTATCTGCACCTGTAGCACAGAGATTGCTTATGCAAATTCATGAAGCCAAATCAGTTGGTTGCAGAAAATAAATGGCGATAAGCATTTACGGTTCCATATCGCATAGCGTGCAGCTGGATGAGACCACATGGTTCAAATCTGCTGGAGATCAAGATGAAATCGGCACCTAAATCATTTATTTAAATATAATGACTATAAATTAGTGTAAAACTTATTAGTTATACTTATCATAAGCGAATTTTGCCCCTATGAATGCCTATCTTAAAATATTATAATATGATCCAAAATTAAACCCAGTTCGTGTATAGGCTTTAGGCTTGGCTTTTCCATCCCAAAACCCCAAAAAGGACCCAATTGCATTTTTGGGTGAATAAAGGTGGTTAAACACCTATAGTTTTAGGGATGTTTTCTCAATAAACCCATCATGTACTTACCTTAGTGTTCTTTCACTATGTACTTAGACATATCTTCTCCTCCTCAAAAAAATCGAAGATAATATCAATAAGGGATGTTAATTCAGACTGAGGATTCAAAAAATTTAAGTTTCTGGATTTTAAAATTGTTATTCATCAGAGATTCAGAGTAAATAAATATAAATTCTTTCAGATATTCATTATTTGAATCTGTATTATTTGTGTGATATATATATATATATATATATATATATATATATATTGATCAGCAAAGGGAAAATTTATTTTTTAATGTGGGTTTTAAAACAAGATATTGAGAAGGTAGATAGGATTGCTTAGCTTTTGAATACAAGAGGGCAAAACACAGTACAGGGAAATTAAAGTAAAATAATAATTATTTCAAACATTTGACATTTAATTACCTCTTAATTATTTATTAATGTGGAATTTTTCAGCATATTCTCAAACAGGCCCTTGCATGGATTAGGTATACATAGTTAGTTAAACGTACAAAACAAAATTTCGTGGTCAAGATTGGAATTGAAACTTTTGTCACAGAACATTAAATATGATTTGTACTATATTTAAATATATAATATAGCTAGATACGTGAAATTTTATATAATTATAAGACATTAATATAGTTTTTTTCTTGCTTTTATGAGGAGACCATGAGAAGTTTGCTAACATAATGAAGACAAATATTCTCATTGTTCAGTGGAATGATCAATTTTTATAACATCTGTGTTAAGATAACTGAGTTGATATGGAGCTATGTTGGATGACCAAAAAAGCATGCAGATGCATGATAATATCAAAGGAAAATAAACTTTAGTTGGCACGTTTGGAATAAATTTTGAATTCGGGATATATTCTTTGAAAAACAAGAAGATACAGAATAGGAAATCCAACAATTACTGCCATCAACAATGCAACTGATCTTTCATCAAACGATGACATGAAAGAAAACATTACTACAAGAAAACATGAAATGAGTCGGTAGCAACTCTTTTGCATGGTACTCATCTATCTAAAGAGCCATAGATGCTCAGTTGTTGGGTATTAGCTGATGGGACCATTCAATTAGGGCTTCCCCATTGGAGGGTGTCCTGGATAGTGACCATAAGGTGGTTCATACACTGGAGGCTTCTTTGGAGTCTCATAGACCGGTGGCTTAGGCTCATACGTTGGAGGCTTCTTTGGAGTCTCATAGACCGGTGGTTTGGGTTCAGGTTTCTCTCTCTTTGGTGGTGTATAGACTGGTGGCTTTGGTGGCTTAGGCTCATACGTTGGTGGTTTCTTTGGATGCTCATAGACTGGTGGCTTTGGTGGTTTAGGCTCATATGTTGGTGGCTTCTTTGGAGGTTCATAGACTGGTGGTTTGGGTTCAGGCTTCTCTTTCTTTGGTGGTGTATAAACTGGTGGTTTAGGTTCATACGTTGGAGGCTTCTTTGGAGTCTCATAGACGGGTGGTTTGGGTTCAGGCTTCTCTTTCTTTGGTGGTGTGTAAACCGGTGGCTTTGGTGGTTTAGGCTCATACGTCGGTGGCTTCTTTGGATGCTCATAGACAGGTGGTTTGGGCTCAGGTTTCTCTTTCTTTGGTGGTTCATAGACAGGTGGTTTAGGCTCAGGTTTATCTTTCTTTGGGGCTCATAGACAGGTGGTTTGGGTTCAGGCTTCTCTTTCTTTGGTGGTTCATAGACCGGGGGCTTAGGCTCGGGTTTCTCTTTCTTTGGTGGCTCGTAAGTAGGTGGTGATTTGCCATAGGGAGGTTTGTAAACAGGAGAAGGTGGTTTACCGTAGTTGGGTGACTCATAGGTACCGAAAGAGGGAGTGGTGAGAGCCACCACTCCAAGTAGTAAAACCAACAAGTATGTAGTAGACATCTTGGGTCTCTTTGCTTTCCATGGTGCAATGAGAAGTGCCCTTTTTATAGTGCCAAAGGAGCCTTATGGTTAGCCATTGTGTTAGTTTTTACACCTTTGGAAATATAAGCTAGGTATTATTAAATCTTCCGCGTAATTCATAAATGTAATTTGGTCCAATCAGGTCCCACTTGGTTGAATTTTTGAACCATGTGCATACAAGGCCTTACTCACGATTGAACAGAAGTGGCTATACAAGTTCACTGTAAAAATTATAAAAAAAATGTAGATTTGGACCAAATCTGCATGCATGCAAAGACATCATAATCTGTTTCAACATGTTGGTTCTCTAGAAGTAAAGAAAAGAAAACGATGTAAATGATGATGCAATATATTATTATTATTGTCCTTATTTTATAGTATATTTTATTTTTGGAAGACAATAGGTTCGGATGAATTGTTTGTAGGTACCAAATTGTCAAAAATGGAGGTGTATACTTCAACTACCACTCTCATCTCCAAGTGCCAACATCGATACATCATTTTAACTTTAATACCTTGATAAAAAAAATATGGTAAACTACACATTTAGTACCTAAAGTACTATTAATTTTGGACTACTTTAATACCTAAACTTTTAATTTTTTAAAAATATACTTAATATTTAGTTTTTATTTCATTTTAGTAACATACTGTTAAAAGCTTAACACATTTAGTATCTAAACTGTCAATTTTGATCCGTTTAAGTACCTAAACTTTAAAAAAATCAGAATTTAAAGTTAATTTTGAACATGGATACTAAATGAAACAAAAACTAAACTTAAGTATAATTTTTTTTAAAAATTAAAAATTTAAGTATTAAAACGAACCAAAACTAATAGTTTAAGTACTAAAAGAGTAATTTATAAATTTATGAATTAAATAATTTAAAAATTAAAGATATCCAACTCCTTCTGTTCTTATATATTTTTTTGGAATATAAAATAAGTTGTTAGAAATCATTGAATTTCTATGGATTTACTGTCACCAAATTCTTACTGAAAGTAACAAAAGGAGATTTCCACGTCACCACGTATCTCATCATGACATGCATGTCTACGTGTGTCTGTCGGTGCCTAAGAAATAATAATTTCAGGGAACCTTGAATGGATTAGGTGCCCATAGGTAAACACAATTTCATGGTCAAGATAGGAAATACATAAAAATAAATAGGATTTGATACTATATATATATATATATATATTCACATTGATTGAATTTAATTTAATTTAATTAATATTATTTTTAAAATATATAAGCATGATTATGTCTAATAGCACGTTTTTTCTATATTTATGCTATATTTGTATTTGTATGTTGGCACATTTTCAGTTGTTTGATTATTTTTTTCTCAGAGTTTGATATGATGACACATTGATTGATCAAGATGACGCTTATTTGTTATTTTATTGATCTTTCCTTTTAGATCCTCATATTGGATTTGGATACACGGATTGTGTTAAGAGAGAGTTCTCTCACGATGTTTGACTCTGATTTGTGATTATATGTGGTCTTTCAATAGTATGATCCCTTATTATGGTTAATTTTTCGATGCAATCAGATATGTTCGTATTAGGATTGTTCATGGACGGTTAACTGTACTGTTTAGCCTAAACGGTCGGTTAACTGTTATAAATGGTTATGAGATTTTTCTAACCGTAACCTAACTATTAAAAAACGGTTAACTGCTAATGATTAATCGTTATTAACGGTTCGGTTGTAGGTTAACGTACGGTTAGCCTATTACAATTATTTGTCAATTTTTTATAATTCATACTAAGAAAATATAATACTTAACATATACTTACACCATTATAAGATAATAAAATAATAAAAATACACTATAATAAAGTAAAAAAAATAATAAATATCGAGAATCGAGAATTAATAAAATATTACCATCATATATCACAAAAATTAAAATTTAAAAAAACTAACGAGGACTTTTGTTGTCAAAATTTTTATCTCTAATATATTTGTCGGTAATAACTAATGAGATGTGGCTGAATACTGTTTTTTCCCCCTTCAATTTGCTTATCGTTACCTAATTCTGTCCGGTTGGTACTTGGGACATAAAGCTGATTTTTTCACCGAATGATCGTTATTGACATTTAGTAATAATAAAAAATTACAGTAGGTGAAAAAAGTAAGGATAACTCCGGTGCGGCAGACTAAAAAACGACTAAAATAAAGTGTTATCGATTTTGTTATTGTGTTAAATAATAAAATCGGTAAAAATTACCGAAAACATTATTAAGCGCTATCGGTTTTGTTATTATTCGATGTTTTTTATCGGATTTTCGAGAAAAAAAAATACCGAAAACATTATTAAGCTTAAAAAATGACCGAATTAACATAATATTTTAGGTATTTACCTGAAAATTTTAGGTAATTTTTACCGGTTTTATTATTTAAACGATAACAAAACCAATAACACCTTATTTTAGCCGTTTTTAAGCATGTCGCACCGTAGAACTTCTCGAAAAAGTAGACAGCACATGTGCAGCCTACAAATCAATTATGAATGTTACATTCTATTATAACTTTTCAAAGACCAAAATACTGAATGGAGCATCGGAAAGTGTTCTAGAACAGATTTTATTTTTTAAATCATCGATACATGTTAATCACATCAAATTTTGATAAAATCGTTATAAAATTTGTTCTCTCATATAGACATTAATATGTATTATATAATAATATAATGTGACATAAATAATAATTAATATTGAATTTGCATAAAATAATAATTTGACTTTAAAAGATAGAAAGAATCATAAATAAATAGTTAAAATAATTTTTTGAAACAAAATTGAATAAGTTTACACGTCAGGGTTTATAAGACATCAAATATTTTTTTAACGATTTTATTAACAATGAATTTGATTATTATATATATAGATAGATAGAAAGATAAATATATAATTTAGAAATAAATTAGAATAATAAAGAAATTGGGATTCAATTTTAAAATATTATAATCTAAGGATAAAATTAAAGTATTTAAAATTTTAAAGATTAATTTTGAGTGAACGTTATATTTTAATAATATGCGATACAATTAACTCTCATTGGATTTGGTATAACTAATTATGAGGAAAAATGAGCCCTTAAACTTAATTCACATGGATTCAACAAGTTTCCACCAACCAAATCTCCATGCATGAAATGACATCATAGTCTCTTTTGTCGGTTCTCTAGAAGTAAATAAAACGAAATGATTTAAATGGTAATTCCACGAACTAAGTGTCATATGTGATAAATGAATTGTAATTATTTTTTAAAGATTCAGATTCGAGCACCATAAATGCTAGGAGCGTGGACCTTAAATGTCAATAGGGTGAAAGTTATCTTTAAAACAGATATTATCTTGTACTTATCCCAGATTTAGTAATATATTATTATTATTATTATCGTCATTTTATAGTTTATTTTGTTTGGGTAAATTATATGTTTACTACCTAAATTATCAATTGTGGGTTATTTTAGTACCTAAACTTTCATTTTTTTTAAATAATACACTAAAGTTTAGCTTTTGTTTCATTTTAGTACCATACCGTTAAAAATTTTAGTTTTGTTTTTTTAGTATCACGTTCAACATTTAATATTAAGTTTTGAAAAGATTGAAAGTTTAGATACTAAAACGAATCAAAATTGATAGTTTAGGTACTAAATGCGTTAAGTTTTTGACAGTTGGGTACTAAAATAAAAAAGAAAACTAAACATTAGTTATGATTTTGAAAAAAAAATGAAAGTTTATGTACTAAAACAGACTAAAACTAATAGTTTAGGTACTAAATATGCGATTTATCCATTTTCTTTTTGGAAGACAATAGGTTTGGACGAATTGTTTGTTTGTAGGTACAAAATTGTCAAAAATGGAGGTGTAAACTTCAACAACCACTCTCATTTCTACTTTGAAATCCTAACTATACATTCCGAAAGATTGCCTGTAGGTGCTTCAAAGAAACAAGAATACATAATCAAACACCGAATTACACCTTAAAACGTAATCTCTCGTTATTAAAAAAATCGTTGTTATTCCTAGAGGTCCTAATTTCGAGTATCAGAAGCTGCACAAATATTCAAACATCTATCGTTCTTAATCTATCTCTTTCGTTTTCATAGTGGATGTGTAAGGTATGACTCATAAATATATCAGTAAAGAGGACATGGTTTTCTATTATAAATAGAGATGTAACCTAAACCTATGAGATATTGAATAAAATTTCTAGCGCCGTCTAGGCACCGAGGACGTAAGCACATTGCCGAACCTTGTTAAAATTCTTGTGTTCTTTCGTTTACTTTTCCCGATTCTTCAACAGGATGGAAGTAGTAGTTAAAGGTCAAAGCATTCATAAATAAACTTGGCAACATATGGTCAAATTAGGTATGGACTTGTGAAGAAGATAAAATAAGTTGTTAGAAAGCATTGAATTCCTCGTCATCTTATATCACCATGACATGCATGTTTAGATGTCCGTCGGTGACAAAAATAAAATGTGTAATTGAATCTCGTCCTTATATTTTATAATTTGGATGAGCTAAAAGTAGATCAAGTTTAGGTGGATTTGAATAATCCATCTTACCATGAAATAATTTATTATATATGTATATATTTATAGGGTAAAGTACATAAATGATCCACCGACTATAGGATATTGTTTTGTTGAGTTCTTTGACTATTAAAAATTACAAAATTGTCCCTCTCGACTATAGAGAGTTGCTTTATTGAATCCATCGATTATTAAAAGTTACAAAATGGCCACTCGACTAGTCATTATGTTCCAAACCCGTCCTTTTTCGTTAAAAAAATTAATGGACATTTGAGTTAGACGTTAGTATGTTGATTGAG